CTCCCACGCTTGCAGTGATACTCAGAAGACCCCGGGCCTCCTGAGAGGCTGGGGCTGAGGTGGGTCTGTAATTCCCACTCTGTGCTCTGTCCCTGCAGGGGATAAGGACCGTGCAAGCAGTGTCAAAGGTCGCCTGTGGAAGCTGTTTTCCCCAGCCAGGCTGGCCACCCGGGTCCACCGGAGCGCCTGGCTGGAGAGTTACCTGGTGCACCTGGAGGAGATGGGCGTGTCGGAGGAGATGCAGGCGCGGGCCCTGGTGCTGCAGCTCTGGGCCACACAGGTGGGCGTGGATGTGTGAGTGGTGCATGTCGGTATGGATGTGTGGTTATGCATGTGTGCACACGTGTGCATGTGTGCATGTGTGCACATCTCGGGGTGCGTGAATGGAATATGTGTGTACATGTGCATGCGTGTGCATGTGCACACAGTGTGCACTGTGAGTGTGTCAGTGGGCGTGTGCATGTGGGTGTGCACACATTCAGCCATCTGCCCCAGTTCTCTGACTCCCTTCACTGTCAAACAGCATCGTGGATAGGATTGTTCATTCGATATTCTTTTTGTTAATTTGGAAAAATGTCACAGAGAAGCTTTATAGTTCAGTGAACCCCTAATTAGACTTCACCTTGATTCGCTAGTCTTTTTTTTTTTATTTTTTTTAAGGTTTTTGCCATAGAATAGTGTGTACTTTTCGGAGAGAGACAGAGAGAGGGAAAGTGAGAAATTGCACCTGAGGAAATTGCACGAGACAGAGAGAGGGAAAGTGAGAAATTCCACCTGAGGAGGATGGCCACATGCAACCCCTTCTTCTCCATTTTCCTCCTGGGATTCTGGGCTCGTACGCACACATGCGCAGTATGATTTTCAAACTGCTGTTGGCCAGTGGAAGTCCATTACCTTAACCACCTGCTGGCCCCGATTCCCCAGTTTGAACATCTTCCTAAGTCTGCTTCCTTTCCGTCTCTTTTTTCTTCCTCTTCTCCAGCCCATTGGGGTTCATTTACGGGTCTTTTGCGAATACATTGCAGATACCATGACCATTTACCCACATTATGTTGGCATGCGTCCCGAGGGCAGGAGCCTTCTCTTACATGACCGCAGGTCTGAAACCAGAATCAGGACTGAGAACCCAGGCCCAGGTCATGATCCAGGCCACGTTCTAGTTTTGCCAGTCGTTCCGATCACGTCTATTATGGCCCATCTTGCCCAGCATCCCCTGGGGCACGTGTTCTGCTGCGTCCTTCTGCCTCTTTGGTTTCTCGCTGTTGGGCAACAGCAGGGCGTCAAGTGTGGCTGAGGAAGAGTGAGGGAATGAGAGGGGGCAAGGAAGGGGGCCAGGATTGCCTTGTGGGCCCTAGTGAGTGAGGGCTGGGGTTTTATCTGGGTGAGTTCAGAGCAGAGTAGGGTCAGGATCTTAGGGGCAAGGGCAGAAGTGGGGGCCCTAGGGAGGAGCTGCTGGTGGCAAGATCAGGCCGTGGCTGTGGGGGCGAGGAGGAGGTGGGCGGCTCTGGGAAGCTTTGGAAGAGCGAGCCAGTGGATTTGGTAACGATATTGGGGTGTGAGGAAGGGAGCAGGTGGTGCTGCAGGTCTCCGGCCTGGTTCCTGCCCTCACCCCCCACCTTGAACCCTCCTTTGTGTTCGGCCCCGTTGGCCGTGACAGTTGACTGGCTGACGTTCCTGGGCAATTCCTTTCCCATCTACTTGCAACTTATTTTTAGTTTGCTCAGAGCCATTAGCGGTCCTTGTAGCAGAGGCTGGCGGGGAGGCTCGGTTCAAGCGGCAGTTGCCCCCATTAGTGCCTACTAACGCATTCATGGGCGGGGATGGCTCGGAGCCCCAGGCTGTCCCCAGAGCCCCTTGTGGAAATGACCTCTGTCAGCAGAACTGGACACTGGCCGGGGCTCGAGTGGCAGGAACAGCAGGAGCTGGGGACAGGATGTCCTTTGAAGTTGAGTTGTTGGCAGCATCCCAAGTCCAGGCAGGTGGGGAAAACCCTTTCAAGAGCTCGAGGCCTGAGAGCAGGGCTGAGAGGCCAGGTTGCCCAGTGGTTTCGGGGTCAGGCTCTGCAACCTCCCTGCCTAGATCTGAAACCTGACTTCACCACTTCCTGGCAGGTCAGTCATGTAGCCTCTCGGGACCTCCATTTATTCATCTATAAAACCGAGACGGCAGCACCTTCCAAGGCACGGCTGTGAGGATGAAAGGAAGCAGTCACGTGCATTCTCTAACTGCCAGCCAGATGAGTGTCCGACAAGTGTGGGGGGCTTGTGTGGGCCACACCCCGTTCTAGGAGCCAGGAGGAGAGCAGAGGGTCAACCAGAGCCAAGTCCCTGGCCTTACGGAGCTGGCACTCTGGTGGGAGGAGAGAGATGATGGGTGAACACGCAAGCTTCTAAAACACGGGGGAGTGAGCCCGTGGGCGACAGGAGCACAGGAGGGGCGGGGAGTGGCGAGGAGCTCCTTCATAGGGTGGTCAGGGAGGCCTCGCAGAACAGTCTCGGTGGAATGCGAAGGAAGTGAGGCGCGACTGGTTTGGCCTGCAGCGCAGTCATATGCTCCCCACCAGGAACTTTTGGGTGGTTCTGGAGGGTGGGGTCTGCAGGGCCCCGGGGTCCCAGATGGCTCCTCTGCTGTCAAAGCGGAGACGCTTCGAGGCACTGTGAGCAGGATTTAGAGTCGGACAGACGGTGGAGTCCAGCTCTGCCACCAGCCAGCCATGTGACCTTGAACAAGTCACTTCACTTTTCTGGGTTTTGTTTTTACCATCTGTAGAGAGGATTTGTTTTTCCTTTCAGTAATTTATTTTGTAGTTTTTAGATTACAGAAAATTGCCACAGTAGTACAAGGAATTCCTAAATCCCCTTCAGCCGGCTTTCCCTGAGCTGCAGAACCCGACACGTTTATCAAACCCAGGGGACAGCACGGGGCATCGCTGTTAACTAAAGCCCGTCCTTTACTCGGATTTCCCCAGGTTCCCCACTGATACGCTTTTTCTCTCCCGGGATCCGATCCAAAGGCCACATTGACTTGGGGTTTTCGCTTGCTTATTTGTATTAAATAGACTCTGTTAGAGCATTTTTATGTTCACAAAAATTGAATGGACAGTAAGGGGTTTCCCATACACTCCTGCCGCTCATCTGCACGGCTTTCCCACGTCGACCTTCCCCGCCACTGATGGGCCCACACTAGCACATCACGGAAATGCTGGGGCATTCTTTCATTCCCTTAAACATTTTAAAATCATCAAATGAAAAGAAATAGCATCTGGGATATCCCTCTTTCAGCGTTGGCTTCTGTGTTGGCTCCATCGTCAGAGGAATTGCTCCTCTGCATGGCCACCGCCGTGGCTGCTGGCAGCTCCAGGTACTTGAGCACTCCCAGCAGTGGCAGTTTCTCTTTCCCATGAGACAAGCAAAGATCTCAAGTCGGGCAGTCATTGGCCCAGCCCTGATCACGTGTCCTCTCTGGGCAGACCATCATTGGTCCAGCCCTGGTCACATGTCCCCACTGAGCAGACCAAGCATTGGCCCAGGCCGAGTCACTGTTACCATGAAGTCTGGAGGGGTTGGGTCAACCCCGCATGGCCCACGTGGACTCAGAGTGCAGGTAATTCTCTAAAGGGTAGTGGGACGTTGTTACCCAAAGATGAGGGGGTGAGCACAGAGCAGGTGAGGGTAGCAGGTATCCCCCACCCCACTGACCGATGGGGTGGTTGGTGGGTAACGAGACGGTGTAGGTAAGTCACCAGTTGGTGGGTGTGCACTCAGTCGGCGCCCCCTAAAGTTCAGCTGCGGCCACTCGCAGACAGGATAGGACAGGACGGCACTGCTGTGTGGTGGGCTAGGCTGCAGTAGGAGGGGCTGGGGACATGTGTTCCTGAGTACACTGAGCCAGGGCCCCAAGGAGGAAGACTCAACTTCCAGGGTAGCAAATCCAGGCCCCTCTGGGGCTGTGGTCCCTTGCACGCACACCGGCTCACGCGCCATCTCTGCAGTGGATGGAATGTGGCCTGGTCACCTCCCTCACTCGCCACAGCACTTTCCCGCACGCAGTTAACTGAGCGCCTGCGTGGTCCACTCCTGCTTGGTAATTAATGAGCAGCGGCCCCCGTCTGGCCATCTGGGCAGGATTAAATGGCCTTGGCGCTGAGCTAGCCCGACGCTGAATTATTTACCGCCCACATTTCCCTGGCGATGGACAGCGAGCAGCCTTGCAGTCTCTGCTGGACCTGACGTGCTGGAGGAATCGCAGAGGCCTGAGGATGCGCCTCCATTCTCAAATCCAGGGCTGCGGCGGGTGGGGACGCGTCACTGCTCCTGAGCACCCTCTGAGTCTGGCATGAATGCGGCCGCCAGCTTCTAGTCTAAGCAGACCCTGTGGCCCCACCAGGAGTGGGCCCTGTTATTCCCACTCTATCAAGGGAGGTTCTGAGACCCAGAGGGGGGAGTGACTTTTCCAGAGTCATAGAAAGTGGAAGGGGGCAACATGGTAGTTGGGGCGCTGGACTCCCATATGGCCAACCACGGTTCCAGTCCCAGGTCTGGAAGCTTGCTGTCTCACCCCCACCCCCCCATCTGTCTCTGGTGAGCTCACATGCCCTATACCAAATTTAAAAAAATAATGATAATAAGAATAAATTAAATTACATTAAAAAATGTTTTAAGAAAAGAAGGTGGGGGGCTGGGATTTGAACCCAGCTCTGCCTAGTCTCCGTCAGGGCTCTTCCAGCCCACCTTCCGGGCTGTCCTGGAAGCCTGCCTCCAGCCCAAAGGGACACAGATGCTTATTTGACAAATACTGATGAGCCTATAGCCTTTGCTGGGCAATGGGTAGCGACGAGGGAGCCTCTGTCTTCATTGGCCATCTCAGGAAAAGGCCTGACAGCGGTGCCTGGTGGCCGGGTCCTCACCCAGGGACTGCGGCACCACCTCGGCGTTGAATCCATGAGAGCCGATGAAAAAGACCGACAGGAAACCTGTCATAGCCGTTGATGCTTTGGTGCCTTTCTTTCTTTTCCAAGTTTTTGCTATAAGGAGTGTGTACTCGCCAGAGAGAGACAGAGGGGAAAGTGAGAAATGGGGATGGTCACTCCAGTGCCTTCTCCATTCTCCTCTTGGGATTTTGGGCACAGGTGCACATGCGCCTAGTGTGATTTTCAGGCTGAGACTCCGACCGCACAGCCCGCCGTGTGTGACGCAGCACCCTAACCTCCATGCCACCTGCTGGCCCAGTGCATTCCTTTCCAGCCTTCTCCCCTGTAGTTTTATTCGCTGGTTAAGATTACGCAGCTGTTTTAACCAACATTCTGTTTGACTTAATATTAGATCACAAGCGTTTCTCACGTCATTGCAGATCGCTATAAAAATCACTCAGAACCCCTCTCTTTCACTTGAAAGTAGCATCTATTTTTAAAAATTCAAACAGTTTTAAAGGATATATGAAAGGAAAGGCCATTTCTCCTTCCCTTGTCCTCCCAGTCTCCCAGCCTCTGCCCGAGAGACAACCTCAGTGACCAGTTTCTTTGTGTTTCCTAGAGATGGTCTGTGTGTCTTTGTAGACACTCTTCTTTAAACACACACACCACAGCGGCCGCCCGGCGGCCCGGCATGCATCTCGCTGTTTGCATGCCTCAGAGAGCCTTGGCCCGGGTCCCGTAGCTGTACGCACAGTGGCTCCTCTAATGACTTCCGGTATCGTCATCTCTGGCTAGGCTGTCATTTAGCTCCCTGAGCTCCAACCGATAGACGCGGAAGTTGTGTCCCACCTCTCGCTGTTACATCAGCACTGCAGTAGCCACCCTTGTCCATGTGCCCTTTCCCCACGCGCAGTCGTGTCTGCAATGAAATTACAGGGCCAACGTGGTCTTTAATGATGATTTGCTATTCCGTGATTTTGACTGAGTAGGACGACCACTGAGCGTAGACAAAAGCCTTTCCCTAAACGGAGGATAGTTAGTATTCTACCCCTGTGTGGATCACTGACTGACAGGTACCTACACACATGCTAGACTGGCGCCAAGTAGCTGAGGCCAATATGTGTATGAAAATGTTCAGCCAAGCCTGAAGCCTTGGAGCAAGAAACCCCATTCATTTTCCTAATTGCTTCACTCTTGGGAATTCTAAATAATTCTCGTTTAGGAAATGAACAGCTTTCACAGTCGTCAGTGAGGATCGCTGCTTTGCTTTACACACGCATGGTGCTCATACATTTACTCTTCAAGTAACCATGGAATTTTAGTATGTGAAACATTTGTATCTCAAATGACATTGAGAACAGTTAACTATATTTAGAAACAGACGATTGGATATTGTATCAGTTAGCTATTGTATATTGCACATCCACTAACACTCTGGGTTAACTCGCAGATCTGTGGGCCTGGCTGTTCTGAACTGACTCAGCTGGGGCAGCTCAGCTCTGCAAGTCTTTCATCCCGTCTTGGCACCAGTGGGCTCACAGGGCCAGTGGAAACACACACGGTCTCTTAAAACCCGGACTTAGAATTACTGTTGGGTCAATTTCACCATATCCTATTGGTTAAAGCCAGTCCATGGGTGAGCCAGAATTCAAGGGGTGGAGGGAATACATTGCCTCTGTAAAGGGAGGAACCACAGAGTCTCATGGTACAGGGACTGTTGGAGATCTGGGCTCAAGGATGCAGGTCAATACTAGTCCTTTAGAGGATTTGCTATAGGGCATATGCACTCACCAGAGACAGAGACAGTGAAAGAAAAAGTGAGAAATCCCCCCCAGGGGGCATGGCCACACCACAATCCCTTCTTCTCCATCCTCCTCCCGAGATCTTGGGCACACATGCACACATACCCAGTGTGATTTTCAAGCCATCAGATCCGGGACTCAAACCATGGTCAGGCACGTGGGGGTGCAGTGATGTGACCACAACACCATCTGTGGGCTCCCAGTACCAGTCTTAACAACATGCCTTGTTCCTATTAAAGACACTTTTTTGCTCAAGGTCAGGAGTGCCAGGTGTGGCATTGAAGTAGGTTCTGGGCTAGGCCAAGGCCACAGAGCAGACATCGGCCATGTCCCAGGGCCAGAGATGGACATGGGTCATGGCTCGGTGTTTGGCCCTTGTGCCTCGGCCAGGGCTGAGCCTGTGGCACAGACCGTCCGCTCCATCCTGTTGACGACATGTCATGGGCTCCTTCTCATCGCAGGGGAACATGGGCCCTGCTGCCTTCTGGCTCCTGCTCTTCCTGCTCAAGAATCCCGAGGCTCTGGCTGCTGTCCGCGGAGAGCTCGAGCGTGTCCTCTGCCCAGAGGAGCATCCGGAGTCGCAGAAGGTGTTCGACAGCACACCTGTGCTTGGTGAGTTGGTCCTACCCTGGGATACCCTTAGGATGGGGTCACCATGGGTTTCCCGTCTTAGACCTGGCAGGTCCGTGCTCCAGTTTCAGCCGCCCAAGGCTCATGGTCTCAGTGGGAGATTTTTGGTTTCAAGTGACAGAAAAACGAACTTAAACTGGCTGAAGTAGAAAAGGGACTTTATCTGGGACTTGTAACAAAAAGTTTCAGCTTCAGGCACTGGTGGATCCAGGTGCTCTAATGATTCAGGCAGGGTTCAGTCTCTTCCTCTCTCAGGTCCGTTTTCCACTGAGTTGCTCCAGGCCCAGGCTGGCAGGCATCCCGCTGCCAGCCAGCGGCTCAGGGCTGACCTGCTCTCTCCTCTTACAAGAATCCCAAAAATGTGTCTCCCCAGCTCCTTGGCCATATTCTCATCCTGAGCCAACCATAGGGCTCAGAGCGATGCTCTGATGCTCTGATTGGCTGGCCACACCCTGATCCTGGGACCTAAGAGTAGAAGCAACCATTCAACCCCAAGAGGGAGAGGAGCGATCCCTGGAGGAGAATAGGGGACTGTTTCCAGAAGGGCTATGTATTCTGGGCGGGCACAAGTAACAGATATGGATGGCCCTGCTCTCCCCAGCCTTCTGCTCCCTCCCTTGCTCCCACCTGCCCTCACAGCTTCTCTTGGGGTAAGACCCGATCTTCTCATGGTGGAACGTCTCTGAGGGACCACAGAGATCACGTTTCCTCATCTGGCCCTGTTCACCTTGCTGTGTCACTGTGGGCAAAGTACACACCCTCTCTGAGCCTCTTTTATCTCCTGCTATAAAATGAGGGCTGAGATGGCATTTGAAGGAGCTGGGGGACAGCCTGCTGACCCGTCCTTGCACCCGCCCATGCAGACAGCGTGCTGAGTGAGACCCTCAGGCTCACGGCTGCGCCCTTCATCACCCGTGAGGTTGTGGTGGACCTGGCCCTGCCTATGGCCGATGGGCGGGAGTTCTCGCTGCGACGTGGTGACCGCCTCCTCCTCTTCCCCTTCCTGAGTCCCCAGAAAGACCCAGAAATCTACACAGACCCAGAGGTGAGTGACAGGGATGGTTGACCGTACTGGGGAGTGCGAGGGAAACAGCAGTGACTCAGAGCAGCCCGATCTGAGTGGCAGCCCGGCTCTACTCTTGGCTTGCTGTGTGACTTTGCCCAGATTGCTCGACTTCTCTGTGTCTGCATCCTCACCCATAAAATGGTCATAGCAGCACCTGCCTCACAGGGTTGCCAGAGGTGTAAACGAGATCAGGTGAGAAAAGGCCATCAGGCCCAGCCGCACGGTGGGGCTGGGGGACACTGTGCTCCAGGTGCAGGCCCACATGGAGACCCCGGCTCAGCTCCCAGGCCGTGGTGTTCCCTCAGCGACTGAGAAGGTCTGAGGAGGAAGGAAGGATTGCAAGCTCGAGGCCAGCCTGGGCAACTGCAAGTCCCTGTCTGAGCGAGCAGGCGTGATGGCACACGCCCGGTAGCCTCAGCTGGGACCGAGGCAGGGGAGCACATCCGGCAAGACCTCACTTTTTTTCCAAAGAATTTATTTTATTTATTTATTTTGTTTATTATTTATTATTTATTTTTCACATGAGTTTTGCAAGAGAAAGAGAGAGAGAGAGAGAAAGCAAGCTGACAGGTCCAGGACTTGAACCACAGTCAGCCATGTGGGAATTCCAACTCCTTCACGCCACCTGCTGGCCCCAAGACCTTATCTTAATGGAAAAGAAAAGGCTTCACGGGGTCTGCCATGCCCCGAGTGTGCTGTGAGTGGAGCTAAGTGATGTTTTCCCAGAAGGTGATAATGTCAGTTCCCGGCACTGTTCCTTGTCCATGGACTTGGAGGTGTGGCAGATTTTCACAACTGCCAGGATTGGGTTTTCCCTGTGTGCTAGACCCCATGCTGCCCGCACAACATCCATCTGTCCCCCATCACCCGTCTACACATCTACTCTTCCAGCCGCCCCTCACCCAGCCTCCACTCGCCCATCCGTCCTCCACCCATCCGCCCATCCTCCACCCACCATTCATCCACCCACCCATCCTCCCCACCCAACCGGGGGCCTGGTGGAGCCCCCCCCCAGCAGACACACACGAGAACCCACAGGGGCCTGGTGGAGCCCGCACCCATTCATCCATCCTCCACCCACCTATCCTCCACCCACCATCCATCCATCCACCCACCCATCCTCCATCCATCACCCATCCTCTATCTGTTCATCCATCCACCATCCATCCTCCACCCACCTACCCATCCTCTATCTGTTCATCCAGTCACCACCCATCCTCCATCTGTCCACCCACCTGTCCCTCCCCCATTCATCCATCTGTCCCCC